GACTCGAGGCTATGCCTCTCCTGAAGCTGGTCCAGACCCTCGTACCCAAGCTCATCATGAAGGTAGACTTACTAAATTAGAAGAAATAGTAACTCAACAAACCACACTATTAGATAATATAGAATTGCAACCTGTTCAAAAATTGCCTATTCACGAAGAAGGATTTCTAGATTTAGATGTAGAAGTACCATGGCCAGTTCGATTTCTATATAATGAAGAGCATCGTGTAATATGACAAAATGGAATTCAGACCGCAAAGAATATGTTTAAAGTAGATGGAGCCGAATATGCTTTCTTAACCTGGTTTATAGAAGTTAAAGAGATAGGTTTGGCCAGTGTAATATTAGGAGCAGAAAATGAAGATAAAGCTATGCAGGAGGTGTTTTTACAATGCCTATTTCAGAATTATTCAGAAGAAGAAATCAATAAAACTATAAAATTGGCAGTAGATGCTTATAGAGCATTCGAAAATGAAGGTGAAGCTATACAGAGGCTATTTTTATAATGTCTATATTGTAATTATTCAGAAAAAGAAATCTATAAAACTATAAAATTGGCAGTAAATAAAGGATATAAAAATTGGTTAAGATATGTGGAAGATCAAATAGAATCAAAAAAATCGAAGCTGGAATGACTGAAAAGCGAGCACAAAGAATATTAAATACAATTGATAATTATGAGTATTTAATAAGAGTAAAATTCATTCGAGACGATACAGTAATATCAGTTGAGAAAACAAAAAAAGGCTTTAAAATTATTGACAAATATGAGCCTATTCATGAATCAAAAAAAGCAGGTGGTAAATATGTCCGGGGTGGTCCAAATGTTATACTTACAAAGAAAATGAAACTGGGCTTTTGGCTAGGAATAGATGAAAAATTTCTGGTTAAAGAAGTCAGTATACAATCCGATGTAGAAAGACTTGATAGTAATGCAGTAGTCTATGGATTATATCGAATCTGAAAACCAGATATCAATCGATAAATATCTATAAAAGATGGAGCATTTAACTGTATAGCTCAACGAGTAATAGAGCATTTTGATAACACTAAGCGAGGGCATAGACTCACAGAAATTCGTTAGCAAAAAATAAAAGATTGTGAGAAAAAAATGCGTATTCCAGATGCTCGAGTACAAGATGTAGCAGAGTTAGAAAAAATTCTTAAACAACCGATTAAATTACTTGATATAACTCATGGTACTATATTTAATAGTGGAAAGTATCGATCAGGTAAATATGAAGAAATCAGAATGGTAGTTCATAATGGCCATGCATTTCCAAGAAACCAACACTTCTCAAGAGATCGAATGGTCAAATATTATAAGGGTGATATATGGAAAGCTATCAGTAATGCTCTCAGGGAACCTCAAGCAATCTGGCTTATAGGAGTAGAGTATACGAGTCAAACAATATCCCAGTTTGTTCTAGAAGATGGTTGCACATTTAGAATATGGAAAAAGCATACAGAAATTATAGAAGCATGCAAACAACTGGTCAATGATACAATAGATTGGCAATATCAGGAAAGAATAATTAATAAGGAAAAGAAATTGATTCTTTTAGAGTCTCTAAAAGTTGTTGATTTAGCAGAGCAGGTATTTGGTACAAACCATGCTAGAAGCTGATTCGCTAATGAAATCAATAAATAGCATCCAATATCTGGAAAAATAAATGAAAATATAAGGCAAGCCTGTGTCGAGCATGGGCATGGTGGATGCTAGAATGCATCCGATTATCACATTAATGATATCATATGTATCGATATGAAAGAATGTTATCCAGCAAGTATGTGAGGTCAAAGAGAATGTGCACCATGGTTTAATCGATTTGGGCATCCAACACATCATCTTGTCCAAGTTGCAGTAAATGAAAAATTGCACCAAGATGGTATTACTAGATTTGCACAGGTAAATTCCTTTAAGTTCACTTCTAACATATATTCAGTAATCCTAGTTTGGTATAGAAAATATTTTGCTTGTCATAGTGGAAAAGGATGTGGGAAAGAAAAAGGATGGGCACCTATTGTACTTCTACGATATCTTTTTGAGGTTGGTATTCTAGAAAGTGTGACTATTGGAGAGGCAATAATTTCTCTTACTAAACAGACCAAAGTATGGCTA